AAGAAAATGAATTTGGGGCATTCGTCAGCAAACAAACAAAGGAGCATCAGGGAAGATTATTAAAGGCCACAGAAGCATACTTTACAAAATAATTTCAGTTATGGTTTTAGCCAAATGGCTAAATTCTGAATAGACAGTTGACTCTATTCATTAGTAATTTTTATAGAGAGCAGAATACATTAATGATTTTATCTGATGAGATTACATGTACAATACCTTGTTGTCACAAAACCTAAATTAGTGAGCCCTGAATTAACAAGATAGTTCCATTATCACTAGGTTATAAAAAAACAGAAGCTATGTCAAAGTAACTGTATTGATTAATCCCTGTATTTTAACAAGTTAAGTCTGGATTTAATGCCCTTTTCTAGGATAAGGTGGTCGGTTAGGTAAAAAATCTATAGGTACTAATATTTCTCATAGAACACATTTTGTCCTCTTTGCTTTTAAAAAGAAGTCCCGTGGGAACCCTGCTGCATCCGAGTGTCGCAGAGGCCCAGCTTTGGTTAGCGTTCAGGGAGACCTGCTCACTTCCACGGGTGAGTTCCTGTCCAATCTGGGACCCTAAACTCAAGAATAAACTATTTTAGAGTCTTTCAAACATTTAGAATGCCATGTAGCTCTAGAGGTTTAACCTTCAGGTAAGTTCAAAAGAAGAGAAAATTTAGGAAATGAGCCACCTTTCCAGCTGACTAGTAAACACTGGGTTAAGCACTGTACAAGTCTCCAAGGAAAATGCAGGGCTCAGAAGTTATTCCATTCTTGTTATATAGGTCTTTCTTTATCTTGGTCTTAGCCATGCAGCAGAAAAGTATAATAATGAGGTATGAAAAGGAAAGCCATATTAATATGCTGAGCTGTAAAGGGCTCAAGTCAACAACTTCTGACATTGCCAGTCCTATGGATAACCCACTACTATTATAGACTACTGGACTATATTGGATTATTTTGCTGAATTCTCACACCTACTATATTCAAATGGCAATGGAATGTCCATCTCTGACAAAACTAAATAAAAAAGGGGATGCAAATGAAGGACCATTTTGTATCTGTATATACAAAATGGTTAGGATGGATATACAGCTTCTTTCTCTTGGTTTGATGGGGGGAGAGATTTGTGCTGATGGTATTTGGACAGGATGTCATGCCTGCATCTTGTGCTATGTATGACCACTACAAGGACAACAATATGCAGTGTATTACATATTGAAACTATCCTATTGATCGGTTTTGGGACTGTCTCATTGCTATTTATTTCTCAATAAAATTAATTTAAAAAGAAATTATTTTACCTTTTCACCACAGCCTGCTACCCCCTCTCTTTCTCCTTGCATTCAGTCCTAAGCGCTCAGACCATTCTGCTCATCCCCACAAGTTCATTGCTTTTTGAACAAAGTCTACTATTGAGAATACAGATCCTGGGGCCAGGGAGATGGCTCAGTGGAATAAGCACTTCCATGGCAAGCGCAAGGGTTTGAGTTCAATCCCCGGTTCCGCAAAAAAGAAAAAAAAGAGAACACAGATCCTTTGAAATAATCGTGAAGTGTCAGCCAGGACAGCTTTGAATGTCTGAGTACAGCTGACCTCTATGCTCATTCAGCAGCTGAGCCACAGATGGTTCTTGAAACAGAGAGAAGGGGAGCCCTTCACTCCATGGGCTCTGCACCCAACACTGCAGACTTCTTTCTTGCCATTGTTCCTTCAATAACATGGTATGATACCCACTTACATAGCATTTATATTGTATTAGGCATAAGTCACCTTGAGACAATTTAAGCACATTGAAGCTGTGTATAGCCTCTGCAGCACTATGCCATTTTATATAAGGCTTTTGGACATCCATGGATTTTATTATCCTGGAGTCAAGGTGGCCCTGGAACCAACACCCCTACATACTGAAGAATGGCTGTGCTGAAGGACAGAGATGTGTCTCAGTTTTAAGATCCTAACTCTTGATACCAGATTCACGTGACCTAAACAGCTGGGTCCAGCCCATAGCCCATGACCCCATAAACCTGGCTTGCCTGGGCCACACTGTGCAAAGAAGACATAGCTTGGGCTGGATGCAAGATGCATAATATAGCCAATGGAGGTAAGGAGCAGAATTTCCTTTTAAAATAGGTGGCATTACAATAGAGGGGTGCAGTGCATGGCCACAGGTTGGACATGCTGGAGAATGAACGTGAGGCTGCCCTTGGATCTCGGGACGTCCCTCAGGATTTCTACCCTGTGAATAAATTCAGCACACAGGTGGGCAGGCTTCTCCTCCCCATGTCGGCACCCACTTTACCTTAATCTCTCTAATCCAAGACTCAGCCTGCTCCAAATGATCTTCATTAATTTCAACAAGTTTGTCCCGCCAAGCAACTGCCTGGCCATCAAACGTCACAAAATTGAATTTGCTTTTATATTTCAGCTGTTCCTGTAAAAGACGATTATTATTTAACCATAAAACCACTCAAGTGTAAGAAAGGCTCAGGACAACTCACAGCTTGACGCATTTTAATCACTAGTGTGTCTGTTCTCGGGGTTAGAAGCTAAGAATTATGTTCAGTGGCAAAAATCATTTCTAGTGCAAAAGGCATTTAAATAAAATTGATGCTAGTTCGGATGTCAGATATTTACAAATGCATATAAGTATGTATAAGTATATATCATATGTGCCACATAATATATAAATTATACATAATATGACATTAAATGCTGACTTTAATGTTGATATTAATGGTGCGTTGGGTAAGCACACTACATACAATGTGCCTAAAGAACAGAAAACCCAAACATCGTCATTTTGGTCTCTATCTCTAGGGAAAGGCAATTATTTGGTTAAAGACCTATTCACCTGCTACCCATGTCTCCAGTAGAGGTCTGTCAAGTTAAGAACTGTATCTTGTATTTCTTGTGCTTTTCCCACTCCGATTCCTGCGGCTGACACATCAATCCAACAGATGCATACAGTACTGGGACACCCACTAATGGGGGTGGAAACTGGGCTTGGTAAGCCACGGCAACCTGTTCAGATCCTGCAGCTCAGGGGCAGCACGGGTAGACTGAGAGCCTGGGTCTCCTACTTAGCCTTCTAGGCTCCTCCCAGGCACCGGTTCTGGGGCCAACATCACAGCGTCCCTGACAGACCCTGGCAGGTAAGGTACAAGTGCCAAGGTAGCAAGTGTCTGGGGAACCATGGAGGCCTCTGTACACCAGATTTCAGGATGGAGAACACTTGAAGGGACACATATAAACACCCCTGCATGCTCATGTGTGCCAGGACTGAACGGGGGACAGGTCTGCTTGCAGAAGAGAACCGATGATTTGCTAACGGGCAAAGGGGAGCTTTTCCTGAATTAGCTTCTTTGGGATTTTTTTCTTAGTGCAAAACTTCCCTGTCCACTGCTCGTAACCGTTATAGACAATGATTTCTAGGGTGCATTTGTGACACACAGGCCCTGACTGCGCGGCGCTGACAGCTTCGTCCGACCTGCATGAGTCTGATGATCTTGTCCTTCACCACGTCCAGCTTGCTCTTCATTGAGTGAGACGTGTCAATGAGGACATAGATGCAATCTCCACGCACTTTCCCGAAGAGGGCTTGGCTCCCGTCCTGCAGCCACTTGATCCTAGGCAAGAAGTTTCCAAGGAAATAAAGGTTAGTGCCTTGGGTGGCAGATCTTGCTAGAGTTTAATGACACATCTGCAGAGGCCAGCGCCACACTACAGATTGCTTATTCCCCATTTCCTGCGAGTGGATTAGTCACTTTGGGGTCTTCTGTAGGAAACCCTGCACTTGTGCCAGCTCCCCTTATCAGCACCTTTTGCTACCTGTTGTCGATGTGAGTGAAGCGTCACTATGCTAATCTGTACCACAGCAAAATAAACCCAATGTGGATGCCAAGCCAAAATTATGTTGCTTCTAGTCACCTGCTCTATAGAGGTCCTCGGCTATGGTTTCCAACCATTTGCTCTTCTAATCCTGCTGAGTATGGCCAAGTAGTGAAGCCAGCACATTGTGGAAGCCCCTATGGAGCCTGTGGACAGTGTCAGTAACTCCAAGGCTGATGACAACCAAATGCCAGGTGCTGTGTGCACAGGACTGTCTCTGCAGCCCATGCTCAGGTGCCCAGCAGAGGATGACAAGGAAGCACACGGCTGCAGGGAAGCTGGGGGAGAGACAGGGAAACATCTGAAATTGAGTTCATGGTTCATCGAGATCTAGCCAGCTAGAATTTGTAGGGCAAAATGCTGAAGAGGTGGTTACTGCACAGAAGGGTAAAGAGAGAGGGAGAGAGACAGATAGACAGAGACAGAGACAGAGAGAGATAGAGACAGAGGGAGACTGAGAGAGACAGAGACAGAGAGACAAAGATGTAGACAGAGAGACAGAGAGACAGAGACAGAGAGGAAGGAGGAGGAGAAAGAAGAGTACAAGAGAAGAGAGAGCAGAGAAAGGGAGGAGAGGAGAGGAGAGAACAGAGAGAGAGAGAGAAGGAGGTGAAGGAGAGGGAACTTGCTCCAGAAATCTGAGAGAAGGGTCCCTTGAGATTTTGGCCACTGAAGATGGAGGCATGCCTTTAAAGAAACTTCTGAAGCCAACTACAAATCACCAAAAAGGAATAAGTGGATCAATTCCTCTGAGCTTACAAAGGCTGTGAACAGTCTATCTTCCAGCAGAGTTGGGGAAACTGCCTAAAGCACTGAGATGAAACAGAATTCTGACAAGAGAAGGGCCTTCATTGTGGATCAAATGAGCCCTAGCACAAAAGCTGCCCTAGACCTATGCTAACACGACCTAAAAGCAGGACTTAGAGTCAAACTGATTCTGTCTAACTTAACTGAGACAAAGAACACACATAGAAGATACAACGAGGTCCAGCACCCAACAATGTCAAATTCAGTTCTGGGGCATCCAATCAAAAGCCAACAGGCCTTCAAAGAAACAGGTAAATGTGATCCAAAATTAGAAGAGGAATTGATCAATAGAAAAGAAACCCAAAACAACATGGATGACAGAATTAGCAGAAAAGGATGATTGTGTTACAGTTATTGCAAATGTAACTCATACATTCAAGATGATAAAAAGCAAAGAGAAAGGTAGAAGACATAAAAAAGACTCAAGTCAAGTTCATACAAATATACAATATCTGAAATGAAAAATATACAATATTAACAGTAAATTAGACATTAGAAAAAAGATCAGGAAATTTTTTAAAAGACATAGCAATGGGAAATAATACAAAATGAAACAGAAAAAGGACCAAAAAATTCAAGTGACTAGATAGCTCATGGGACAGTACATGGAATAATATCAAGGAGTCTAAGAGAAGAGCAGCTAGAGTCTGTGAAGGAGAAAGAGGAGGAAAACACAGACATTTGGAAAAAGATAGTCCAAATGTTTCTAATTTTCATGGAAGCAACATATCTACAAATAGAGGGTCAAAGGACAGGGGAAAAAGCACAATGAAGAAAACCACACACCAGAGTACATCATAAAATTGATGCAATCCGGTGATAAAACGAAAAATCTTAAAAGCATCCAGACACAGAAAAATATACACTGCTTGTAGAGGAGCAAAGCTAAGAATAGCAAGAGCCTTTTAATCATAAATCATGCAAGCCAGGCCAGAGGAAAGAAAGAAAAAGGTTTTAAATAATGAAAGATAACAATTTTAAACTAGAATTCCATGCGTCACAAAAGTAGCTTTTAAAAATAAAGATAAATTAGTTTTCCAAAATAACACAGCCTGTACTACTAATCTGTAACAAACCTGTGTTATAACAAATAACTGTACTGTCTTCAGGCAAAAATAAAACAACATCAAATAGGAACTTGGATCCATAAAACGAGTAAAGAGTAACAGAAATATCAAGTTGTGCATGAATATAAAACATATTTGCTTTAGTTTTTAAGATAATGGACTATTTATAATGTGAAGTTTATAGCACACATAGCAGTAAAGTCCAAGATAACAATGGAAAAGAGAAGGGGAGAAAAGAAATTGTAAGATTCTTAGAACATACAGGAAGTGCTAAAATATTATTTGTAGGTTGATTGGGATAGGTTATAGACAAATATTGCGTGTGTGTGTGTGTGTGTGTGTGTGTGTGTTTGCCTTTTAGGGAAGGGTGTACAGGGTGTACAGGGTGTTCACTACTGATCGGACTCATAATGATCTGCCTGTTTATAGCCTCTGATGAGCTGGGATTACAGCGCCACCACGCCCAGTCTCAATTGCAGTCTCAGCGCGCCCAGGGGCAGGGCTGGTATGGCAGGCCCAAGGATCAAACCCCCAGCCCTAACACCTGCTTGCAGGTGCTTTAATCTACTAAGCTATTTGGCCGGCCCCAAAGATGAAATTGTGAACGCTAAATAGTCATACATATCAAAACAAAGCAAAGAAGTAAGGTTAATGGGACAATAATGGAAATAAACAGAAATAAAAATACTCAAAAGAAGACACAAAAAAAGTAAAAAGAGAGCAATTTACAACCAATTGGAAAGTAAATTACACTCTTCTAATAACTTTATGGTCAAAGAACAAATGACAAGAAAAACTGGAAAATATTCTGCAGTGGTTGAAAATGAATTACAGTGTGTCAAAATTTGTGAGAAGTAGTTTAAAAGGTACTCAGAGGGAAAATTATAAAATTCAATACTTATAAAGAGAGCTCTCAGATCAATGATCTAAGCATAGACTAAGAAACTTAAACCCAAAATAAAGAGAAAAAGGAAAATAATACAGGTTAGAGTACAATTCAGTGGCACAGAAAGAAGAAAACCGTGTCTGTCCCTGTATCTACATTAATGTCTAATCCAGTGAAGTCAATAAAAAGCATAACCTCCTGCCAGTCTGATTAAAAAATAAAGATGATCTAAATTATCGATATCACCTCTATGGTCTATGTGCATTTAAAGATTGAAATCGTACTTGAAAACCTTCCCACAAAGAAACAAATTCCAGGCTCAGATGGCTTCAGCGATGAATTCTACCAAGCCCCTAAAGGAGAGGTGATAACAATTCTTCACAAAGTCTTTGAAATTGAGGGAGGGGAGAAAATTTCCAACAATCTCTGACATCTGAAAGAGGAGAGAGATAAGGGACCCAGGGGTAGTAGTAGGGATTTCAGACACAGGGACTGGGTGTTTTGTTTTTTTTTTTAATTAAAAAAAATTATTTGAGGGGCGATAGCTCAGTAGAATAAGCGCTTGCCTGGCAAGCGCAAGGACCTGAGTTCAACCCCTGGTACTGCAAAAAAAAAAAAAAAATATTTGAAAGGGGCTGGGGAGATGGCTCAGTGGAATAAGCGCTTCCCTGGCAAGTGCAAGGGCCTGAGTTCAATCCCCGGTTCAAAAAAAAAAAAATTATTTGATACAGGTTCTCGCTATGCAGTTCAGACTCATAGTGACCCTTCTGTCTCAGCCTCCCAGTGCTGGGATCACAGGCATACATCAATACACCCAGTTTGGGGGCAGGCAGGGTGCACCCGGGTTCTTGGGCTGGCAAGACATGCAGTACTAGGGATTGAACTTGGGTCCTTGGCCTTGCCAGCCGGGAGCTTAGGGGACTGGGTTTTTAAGAGCTGGGGCTCTGGAAGTACAGACCTGTCAAATGGGTATCTACAACCTGTGGCTGTCTCATAGCAAGCATAGAACAAAGGGAGCTCTCTTTCTCAGATGACTATTACAGACTAGGACTGGTTAAAACTCTTCAGATTTAGTATCTAATCTAATCAGTAAAGCAAACTGATAAATCCATTACTGTCCTCACTTTGTAAATAAGGGAATGGATGCACAAAGACATTGGCTCACTTGCCCGGGCCACACAGCAAGTGGCAGAGGTGGGGTCAGGATCCAGTTTTACCTCACCTGAGAGCCCTGAATAGATTCAGTCTTCTAGACTAGAACTGCCCACTGGCCTCTGGGAAGTGGAGGTGTCACCCTCATGGGGTAGACCCTGAGGTCACAGTGTTGGTACACCATGTTCATAAGCGTGATAGATTTTAATACTCAACACTGTGGGGTCTTACATTTATTTCACAAATATCCCACCAGGAGCACTGTCACCAGCTCCACGGCGACTTCTGTCAGAAGCTCCTCTAGGCTCCAGGAGTGCGATCCATAAGTAAAGACCCCAAACCCTGCCTGCGCAGAGCTCATGGTAACAGGAGAAGGGCCAGAGGGGGGACAAAGCAGAACAGGGCAGGTAGGTGACGTCAAGTGCTATGGGAAAATATAGGGAAAACAGAGTACATATGGATATATACTCTAATCATTTTCTGGTATTTCTTAACTTTGCAGTAGCTGCTTTGAAACACTGAAGAACAGGGCCAGCAAAATAGTTCAGCTGGCTAAGCACCTGCTTAGGCAAGTGCAGGGACTAGGGTTCAATCCCCAGCACTGCATGCTGCGCTGGCCCCACCCCCAGGAGCGCTGAGCCCACCAGGTCTAAGCTGTAGTGAGACCCTGTACCAAATACATAAAAATAAATATTAAAAACATTCAAGAGCACAGAGGACAAGTGTAACAGTCTGCCAGATACCTATGAACCACAAAAAGTCCAAAGCATGATCCGCCTTCCTGAGCCAACAGTGAAGCAAAACCGATGTGACGACTACATCTGTTTGTTGTTTTTTAGAATCTGCATCCCAGTATCTAGTCTCTGATTTCAAATATGCCCCTTGGTTGACAACAAGGCCATCCGATGGTAACCTTGACCGAGTGTGTGTTGCCCATTTCTCTTAGTTGAGCTTCTACCAAGAAATCAAATAGGTTTGCATTTCTAGAGAGACTGCATCACTGGCACCCTCCTGTGAAGGCACTGACCTCCTTTGGATTCTGGCCAGAGCCATACGCATTTTCTCAGTGTACCACTTGTACTTCTCCTTGGTGAGGTTGACATGGACCAAGCTCCCATCCTTCCAGGGAGCATGGACAAACTTGCTGCAGTATTTTGCATGCACTGTTTTCATGTTGGTCTCCTAAGAAAAGGAGAAAAAGCCTTTCAGAAACTAAAGAAGAAGAGTCTTGGGATGGCCCTCTGCCCTTGCCTTACTTATGCATCTCTTGGTTCTCGTTCTCACTATCAGAGCACGCGACTCCTGCTCCATAGGGAGCCTGTGCTAGGTGCAGGTAATGATCAGAAAGACAGGTGTGACCCCATCCACGCCCCAGAGATTCCAGTAGAGAGGTAGAGGGAAGGGGGGGGGAATGAGAGGGCGAGGGGAGGGGCAGGGAGAGGGAGGGGGAGAGACAGGGGGAGGGGAAGGGGAGGATGAAGGAGGGGGAGGGGGAGTAGAACATCCCAGCAAAGCACGGAGCTCACAGAGCACAGGGGGTCAAGGGGCCCACTGTGGAGTTGGCCTCTGACTCTCACAACTTTTCCTTTGCTATTCCCAGTCGCAAATAGAGCAAAGTCGTGGAGAACCCCATGTGAGACCCAGGCGCCTCCTGCTGGGACACGCAGACTACACGCAGAACGCAGGCTCCCCACCAGAAGCACTGTCACCAGCTCCACGGCGACTCCTGCCAGGAGCTCCTCCAGGCTCCAGGAATGCGATCCATAAACACAGCCCCCCCCCCCAGCCCTGCCTGCGCTCATGGTAACAGGAGCAGAACCAGAGGGGACACAATGCAGAACAGGGCAGGGCAGGTGATAGCAAGTTCCATGGAGAAAAACAAGGAAAGGAAGGAAAACACAGAGCGCAGAGCAGAGCAGACAAGTTAATCCTAAAATATAAGCAAAGTTGTGACAGGGAGGGGTGTGACCCTGCCAGACGGGCTCACCTCTCAGAGGCCCTGGAACCTCACTTGGCACTTTTTCACCCTCCCCATAAAGCATCAAGACGTTCCACAAACACTAACATTAATGCTAACGGCCACGATGCCAACATTTGCAACGCAGAACAGGCATCCACTAAGAGCCAGGTGTGGCGCTCAGGCATCCAATTAATTTCCACCTTGCAACACCCTTTTTCCAGATACGGAGAGTGGGGCTGTCAGAAACCTCAGCCAACGACGTAATTTATTTCTCGTATATAAGTACTGGATCTGTACTTATAAACCAGTTTTTACAGTTAAAATTTTGATCAGGTTCAGTCCAATAGAATCCTGGGGAAGCCAAAACAATCTACATATTTAACAGATAAAGTTTCTCCCTATTTTATACACATTGTAATTTTAGGGGTAAATCCAGTTTGGGACCGGTAGTCTTAAATACTAAACGTAAAATTTTCCCTTTTCATCAGTATTTGTGAAAGACGGTAGCTGTGCTGTGTAATTCTTAACCTTTCCCATATTATTATTCATCAGCATGAGAACTTTGAGGTAAAATTACTCTTTTATAAGTCAGATTCTTGAAACTGACCCTGTAAAATTTAATTTACAATTGCCAAAGAGTAAAGAAACCAGTCTGAGCTAGCTCCAGGCCTTCTGCTTTGTCAGGGGCCTGCAGTGAGCTACGCCCAAATTGACAAAGATTAATATTTTTAAATATCCAGGGTCTAATGTATTTTTAAAAGGAAAATTTAGCTGTGTGTGACTTCCCGAACATTACTGGAGAATGTCTTCAGAACTGGAGCAATGTGCTGGGGGAGGAAACGCGAAATGAGATTTGCCCTGCACTGCGGCAACGGCTCTGCATCCCAAGATACGCCGCCGCCGGAGGCAGCTCTTGCGTCAGCGGTGCGTTTCTCTAATTCAATTTTTTGCATTGCCCTCCTGCAGTTGACTGTGAATGCACAGCAGTTAGGAGGCAAGAAAGAGCACAGCGCAGGGAGAGTGGGCCTGCGGAGCTGAGCGGCCGCCAGCGCAGAGCGGCCAAGGAGGGCTCAGGAGGTTCCCTGCTGGTGGATCCGCAGCCAGCTCAGGAATGGTCCTGATGCTGAGCCCCAGCCTTTGAGATTAAAGCCGTCAGCTGGTACTGTGTGGAGAGATGCCCGGCTCCTCCACCAGTCTCCACAGCTCTGTTCTGGGACTTGCATTTTGGCACTTTACCCTCTCCTTTTGTTTTATTTTATTTTGTCGTTTTGAGACAGGGTCTCAGTATGCAGTTCAGGCTGGCCTTGAACTCACTATGGAGCCCACACAGACCTTGAACTCTTGGCGATCCTCCTGCCTCAGCCTCCCGAGTGCTGGGATTACAAGCACACATCTCCAAGCCTGGAATTTGCCACCTTGTGCAAGAGCTTTCCTTAAACTTGACAAATCTAGAATACTCGTTTTGCCCTGATTATCTGTTTCATATAGTGACATTTCTCAATCTTTCTGCATCTTTGATGTCTTGTAGAGTCTGTTCTACACATGAATGTTTGTCAAAGCACAGCCTGGGCCAGTGGCATGAGGGGGGGCATGGGGTCCTTACCATATCGATCTTGTATTGGGAGCTGGCTCCTTTAAAAGGTGATGAGGTCCGTAGGAGGGACGAGACCTTATCTTACGAGAGCGAGAGCATTAGGTCTCTGTGAGCTGGATCAGTCACCCTGAGAACAGGCAGTTATAAATACAGTAGATTCTCTGTCTGTCTCTCTTATCTTTCTGTCTTCCTGTCTCTTGTCTCTCTGTCTCTTTCTGACTCTGTCTCTGTCTGTCTCTGTCACTGTCTCTGTCTCTCTGTGTCTCTGTGTCTTTCTCTCTGTCATTCTATCTCTCTCTGACTCTGTCTCTGTCTCTATCTCTTTCTCTGTCTCTGTCTTTCTGTGTCTCTGTTTCTGTCTCTCTGTCTCTGTCTTTCTCTGTCTCTGTCTCTGTCTGTCTGTCTCTGTCTGTCTCTCTGTCTCTCTCTGTGTCTCTCTCTGTCTCTCTCTCTGTCTCTCTCTCTATCTGTCTCTCTGTCTGTCTGTCTCTCTGTCTCTCTCTCTCTCTGTCTCTCTCTCTGTCTGTCTCTCTGTCTCTCTGTCTCTGTCTCTCTCTCTCTCTGCCCTCCTGGTGCTCTTCTACCCAAAGCCATCTTCTTCCCACTTTTTGGCCATGAAGCCCTCACCAGAAACCAAACAGATGCTAGTACTAGGATCTTTGGCCTCCAGAAATGTGAGCTATACCAACATCTTCTCTTTATAAATTTCTCAGCCTCAGGTATTTTCTCATAGCAACACAAAATAGACTAAGGTATTATTTATGCAAATTGGGATCTCACTTTAGACCTCCTGATGAATGTATACGATTCTGGAGTTTGGAAGCCAGATATTCAGCATGATCTTTCCACTGGGGAGCCAGCCAGAAACAAGAAGAAGCTCCGTGAGAACCACGGGCACGATGGAACTACAGCGTTCAAGGTTTCCAATTGCTATCACCTTTTTTACTAAGAACCTGATTTTACTTTAACTGGAAATCTGTTGTATGCCAATGGGTGTGTTGGTCAAATAATGGGCCTTTAAGACAGTGGTAACTCAAGAGGACCATAGAAACACCCGATTTGGGAATATTCACCAGCAGTTTCTCCCACTCAACACAGGGGGAAAGGGCTCTCTTTTGACCCAGGGTTGAGTAATTTAGGGAATCACAATGCCTGGACTCTACATTCTCACTGAATGATGTCTACATAAATCACATCCAGTGTTGTGACTCAGAAACAGCCTCAGTGTGTCCCCCAAAGGTTCGTGCCTACATGCTCTGCTGCCAGCGTGGCAGGGCCAAGAGGTGGATTTATCCTTAAAATGTGGAAGGTCTAGTGGAAGGCTGGGGTGTATCCTGGAGGGAGATTCATGCTGGTCATGCAGAGTGAGTGAGTTCTCACAAAAGCCACACCAGGCCATACACTCAGTCCCCCTCTACACAGCCAGTTCTTCCTGCTTTTCTTGCTCCATTGTCACTCAGTTGGGGGACTCTGACCAAAGTCCAATAGATGGGGTGTTAGACTTAGATCTTAGACTTTGCATCTCCAAAAGCATGAGCTAACTAAATCATTTTTCTTCATAAAGCAGCCAGGCTCTGGTATTCTACAACAGCAATAAAAGCAGACTAGAAACCACTTTGATCTCTACTCCCACTGGTAGCATTTCAAGAATAAGGTTCGGGGCTGGGGAGAAAGCTCAGTGGTCTGAGCACCTGTCTGGAAAGCAAAAGCTCCCAGGTTCGATCCCTGGTCCCACAGGCTCTGCTGGCCCTGGAACCCAGGATGTCCCGTGCTGGCCACCGAAATCGGGTGCGGTGGTACACACCTGTAATCCCAGCACTGGGGAAGCCAAGACAGGAGGATCACTGCAAGTCCAAGCTAGCAAGACCCTGTACCAAATAAATAAAGATTTAAAAAAAGAAAAAAGGAATAAGGTACAAAGCAGAAAAAAGACCTACTGTTCCCCCCTGCTGCCTTTCAGTGTGTCCCCACTCTGACTTCTGATCTGAGGGAGGCCCCACCAACCCAGACCGTCCAAAGAAGGCTCCATCCAGACTTGGCTCCACCTACCGCACTGGTCTGCACAGACTCGTCCTCAGGCTTGGCTTTTATATCAACAACTCCATCAGCGTGGCGGAAGGAGCAGTCAGCCAGGACATCATAAAACGCCAGCTTCTGGGCCTTCAAGCCGTATTTCTGTAGCCACTTCTCAGAGTCCCAGGTGTCCTCTGGATTTGCCTCATTCGGGACAGATGTTGCTCCTGACTCTGTTTTGGGGAACATAGTTCATTAGCCACTCATACTGCAAGAGCCATTCACTGCATACTCCAAGCCTCGTGCTGGCCACGCTGGGCTGTGGTCGCCACTAGATCACAGAGGTCTTGCTTCACTTCGAGAAAAACCAGGACTGGCAAGGACTTAGCTGACAACACTGGGCAGCAGGAATCTACCGTTCCCCTCACTTCCTCCTCTGTGTAAACTGCCTGCCTCATGCCTGCGTGGAGCTGGATGACAGGCCAAAGCTGTGAGTCAGAAGAGCATTAAATGCTGGGTCAGAAGCTCCACCCAGCTTCAGTTCAAGTCCTGATTCTGTCTCCTGCGAGCGTGGTCCAGTCGAGTGAGTCACCCGCTTTGACCCTCTGAGCTTAAGCACTCCGCTTCCCCTGCAGTTGGCAGACCGCAGCTGCTCGGCTGTCCTCAGGATCAGACAGCAGGTTGGTGGGAACAGCCACACCGAAGTGCTCTGTAATGGAAGGCAAAGAGAAGCAGAGCGCACGACCTGGGGACGCGAAGCCTCTCAGCCCGCAAAGGCTGGTGGGAGGCTCCCCATGAGGCGCCTCATTACTTCAGTGAGTAATGAGGCTTGTTGTTCAGAGCCCAACCCTCAGCTCTGCGGAAACCTTATCCATCAGCTCGGATGCCAGAGCTGTATCGGGGACAGCTCACCTGAGGTTCACAGATGAAGGTAAAGCACAGAATGCTAACCGCCCAAGTGTGACATTCTCAGCACATTCCTTGGTGTTTTCCAGGGGTCACCTGTAGTCACGCATTCTGCAGGCCATTGGTACCAGGAGCCCTGATAGGTACCGAATCTGCAGTTGCTTAACTCCCTTGAATAAAATGGTGTGGTATTTACACAGACTTGACACACATTCGCTTATATGCTTTAGAAAAATCTTTAGTTAACTTTCATATAATATAACACAAATTCTGTGTGAACAGTTGTATTATTTAGGGCATAATGATTTCCTAAAAGTCTGGACATCTTCAATGCAGACACAATTTTGCCAAATATTTTCAAGCCCTATTTTGCTGACTCCTCAGATATGAAACCTGAGGATATGGAACATTGACTGTAATTAAAATTAGTGATCAATATTAGGGAACTAAAATATTACACACTTACCCCTCACTGTATTTAAGAGCTATATAATTAGAATGAGATACACAGTGTGAAAACTCTTTAGAGCCAATTATTTCTCTGTCATACATAAAGCTGTACATCTGCGTGGCCTGTGAGCCATGTCCTTGTATTTTAACAGAATATCTTTGGAAGAATCCCTCTGAAACCTACTGGAGCCAGAACTTGGCAAAGAAACTTGTTTCGGTTTTTGAACTCTAAGCCAACACCCCAGCAGAAGTCGCCCTAAGTGCCATGCGGAGTGGCAGCAGGTGGTTTCTGAGGAGTCCTGTAGGGCACTTCCTTCCAGGGGTTCAGTTCAGAGCCCCCCACAGTTCTCATCCCTGAGGTTCTCTGGAAATCTCCCCTGTAGCCCAAGAAAACAGCAAAAAGCAAGAAGCTACTTTCTGCGAGGCAGAAGTCTTTCTGTGACTACATTTCTTCAATTGTTAATTACTAAGTCTTTCCTTTCTCCCTTTTTCCTGATCAATAGGTGTACTGTAGTGGTAAGAAATAAATTTTTATTTCATTATTTCCATAGTAACACACACCTGGTCACATGTTTTTGATCTATCCTGGCTTGACAAGAAAAAGACCAGAGTCTTTTATCAAGTATAAGTTCCAACTGACCATAAAGGTGCTTCCTAAAAACACCATTGAACTAATCTTCACAAAGGTTTTCAAAGAGCCAGAGACCAGCATCTAACTCCAGCTTCACCGAGGCCCAGGTAGTGCAGCCCTTGGAGGAGACAGTTCAGGCTCCTGCTTACCATCTGAAAAAGGTGAGTCTTTAAATATCCGCACACACCTTGGACCTTCATGAAAGAAAGGAGGGACAGCAAAGCAATCAAAAACAAAGAGCTAGGCGCTCCAAAACCAAAGAAAGTAGGCAAAGCAGTAAAATCTCCTGTTTCAGTTCTAATGACGCCAGTTAGCCGCTGGGCCCCGTTTTCCGCAGGAGTGGAGGGGAAGGGCAGCCCCTGCTCATTAGCACCGCTTCCTGAGGGGTCCTTCCATTCCCTGTGGCGGCTTTAATTAAGCACCTTACATGGATTGTCACCTACAGAGCCTGCACTTACTACAGAGGTGCAAGCTCCAGCTTCCCCACTCTGCTCTCACTTGCCAGATTGCTAAAGATCTTCTTCCACTGATGCGCGAGGGAAGCAGATGGCAGGGCACCTCCACACCCCCAGAATTTATTCCCCTGGTCCTGTCCATCCTATTTATCAATCTCAGAACATTTTTCAAGGAATAAGCCATTCTGGCCAATGCTTTTAAAAAACACTGTTATAGACAGGGCCACGAGCCAAATGATCAACACGGCATAATTTAGCAATAGCCACTCCCACCCCCCACACAACACACTCCCTAGCTTCAAAATCCAGCTCCCCAAAGGCTCCCAACCAGCAGGGATTTACCATCCCATAGCTGCCCTCCCCCGCCCTCCTCCACTGAAAATTACGTCTGGCGCCTCATTCTTGCCATGCCAGGTTACTGCGCCATTCAAGAGAACTACTGGCGAATGAGTACACTCTATCTGCAGAGCGGCGTTCCCAAAGCAGGTCCCCCCACACTGTCTCTCTCCACAGCTTGCCAGGAGCTGTGACTCAGAAAGGGGCTGGGGAGCAGGAAATACAGTGTCAAGGGCCTCTTCATCACCAATGATGCCTGAACCTGTCTTCTGAAAATGTGCAGGGGAGCGCGCTCCGAGCAGGACCCCGAGCTGTTTGGCCCCAGTCTTCCTGCACGGGAAAGAGCTTTCTTTCTCCATGTGGATAGCTTAGGTTTTGTAGAACACGGCTTGATATACATTGTCCACCACTCCTATTTTTTTTCTTTCTACATTTTATTATTTCAAACCATGTGAGCAATTCCATAAAATGTGAAAAAAGCAAGAACGTGTTCAACGCGGAAGGACCCAGGCCTGGGGCAAGGGCACGAGGGGCCTGGCCCCGCAGCAGGCAGCAGTGGTCCCCAGGTTAGCGCTAAGGAGCTACATTTGGATCAATGGAGCCTGGGCCCAGGGCCACTGGGTGTGGCCCTCAGTGACCCTGGCAGTGGTCTGCAACAGCCCTTGGAACCCATTTCTGCAGAGGGCAGGGCAAGGGCGCCACCCACACGGGCAGCCAGCAGAGGGACAGGTGTAAACACACGACACACTCAAGGCACCGAATGGGGGTCGGGCGGGTGCTGGTCAGATCTGACAGTTTTAAATAGATTTTCTCTAAAAAGTTTTCTAAGTTTGCATTTTCTTTTCCTTTACTTTCATTTTTTTAAAAAGCTATGAGAATGAGGAGGTGGACTTGTGGTCTCCTGGTATGGTGGCGTCTCACACTTCTTGTGCTTTTTCCTTTGGGGCCTGTGAGGGGTAGTGGGGGTAGGAAGGGCAGGAGGCTCCCTGTAAACATTTGGACTTGGGCTGGGTCAGGGCTGGTGCTGGGCAAAGCCAGGGGTCCAGGCTGGAGAAGTGGGTGCCCCTCCAGACACAGGCCTTGGAGACTCGGCATGTGCTTCCCACCCCCCACAGAACAAGACAATAATCAAAAAACTAGAACGGATGCCCAGGAAGAGGCGCGATGGCTACTCCTGGCACCTCTGATAGAGGCTGGCTTCAAACTGAGGCTTGTGGCCACCCCTCCCCTGAGTCTGAAGCTGAGGGAAGGACCAGGAGAGCTGAGAACAAGGAGGACAGAGGGGAGAAGCAGCCAGGGGGACAGGCAGGGAGCGTGGTCTTCTTGGCCCCACCTTCCTCAGGGGCTGGAGGAACAGTCAGCAGTGGCCCATCCTGCCAGGCCCACTGCCCCTCAGAAGAGGCCACAGTCCTTCAGGTTGTTCTTGATGATGACGTCAGTGATGGCATCAAACACGCACTGCACATTCTTCGTGTTGGTGGCACACGTCAAGTGTGTGTAGATCTCCTTTCTGACACCCCTATTAATCACAGTTGTCATGAAACACTGAGCAGTCCCTTGGCCACCACAGGAAACAGATGCTGTGGATTAGTGGGGGGAAAAAGTGAAAGAAAAGGAGGGAGAAG